TGTGCGAATCGGATCAGGCCTGAAGCTTTTGCTGAAAAGTCAACTTTGGCCTCGGCGAAACTTAAGCCAGATTCGGCGCATTGCAATTAATACTTTTATGGCGCGCGCGTTGCCTGGGCGGAAATTTAATTTAATTATTAATTAAGAATGGGCTGCGCAGTGCAGGCCGCAGGCCAGTCAGCCAGCTATTATGCTTATTAAACCAAGCGCAAAGCCAATTAACTTTTACACACACACACACATACACATACACATATATACACGTTAGCCTACTTATCTGAAGTTAATTTTGGGCTCGTGCTGCGCTATTTAACTTGGCCCACTTCGCTGCCATTATTTGCTCAGAGGCCAGCTTAATTGCGTTTGAATTGCAAACAAAGCAGCTAAAACAACAACAATAGCAAGAGCAAAGAGCATCTCGACCAGGTAAACGCTGGCAGGTGTAGCAAGGGGGTTGGGTGCGCCGCCCCAAGATCAAAGTCAACGTGTCGTGTTCTGTCGCCTTGCAGCCAAAAGTTTTGTGGCCCCATTTCCTTAACGGTTGCACTGCACGAAACTTTGTCCTTTTGGCTGGCTGGCTCCACCTAGCACCTGGCTAGTTTTCCTCTCTACTAGCCCTACCACCTTTTCCGCTATACCTTTGGCTCTTTCACTTCCGCACCTTAAAATATTCATAATGAAAGTTATTGTTTGCCACTTTGCGAGCACGTATGCTGCGGGTGTGTGTGGCTGTGTGTGTGTAGTGTGTGGTGTGCGCCACGCCCACCTTTAGAAAGCACGCTCAAAGTGTGCACATTCCTCAGTGGACGGTTTTGATTGTTTTGCGGACGGCTCTGCTGTCAAGTTTGCCAACGCGGGGGTACTTTGGGTTATTGCAAAGTTGTTCGAAGTTCGATTGCAGCTCAAAATGGCAACGAAATTTAATTGAAACAACATTGAAACAAAGCAAAAGTCAATTTTATTACTTTAACATATCACCAACTCGACAACTATCCAGTTATCGACATTTATATACCCAATCAAACAATAAAAAGAGACATCAGACATAATTGGACATAAAATAAAGCTAAATTCTATAATATATATATATATATATATATACCAATATATACCAGAGTTTTTTATGTCTAAGGAAAAATCAGATAAATAGCTTATATTTCTTTATAGAGATATTGTTTTGGATTAAAGCATCCTCTTGTTTCTTTGAGAAGTGTATCTACTTGTAAAATTTAAATTAAAATATATATGCAAGAATGTTTGCTGAGTCCAATACATTCGATTAGTAATAGTTATATTATAAGTCGCTGTTATACGAGTATTGGTTAAATATATTTGGGAATCAGAAAATAACTGCAAATTCTTTGGCTGTTGTTTGGCTCTAAGATGCAAGCTCATTCTATGTAGAGAAGGTTGCGCTACATACAGTACATTACATATACATTGCTTAAATTAAAATATAAAGGTGAACATTTAGTTAATGTCGATGTATTTCATTCTATTCTATTGCGACTCATTCAGGTAGAAATTAAAGCACATTTTTCTATGCGCCTCTCAGGTCGTACCTAAGCACCCAAATGGACTTGTTTGGGCACATTTCGTTGACTGTTTCTTGACAAATTACTTGTGCGAGCGTCTCAAGAACCCGTCGCTGTTGGCATTATTTGCCGCAGCTTTATGGCCCGTTTATGGCCGACTGGAATACACAGCATAAAGTCGGTGCTATTAAATATAATTGCCAGCCATTTTTACAATCTACTTAGGAAATCATTTTTAATGTGCTTTCAAAAGCCAGACCGGCTTGCTCTCCAACATGCTAATTGAGGACTGTGAAAAAAAGTGTCCACCAGCCCGCGAATACGGGCGCACAAAACAATAGAGCTTAGAAATTTAAATTAACATTTTGAGTGAATCTAATAAAAACAAAAACAAAAACAAAAATAAAAATGAAAATGAAAGAGTCTGCGATAAAAAACTGGCCAGCAAAGCAAAACAGTTAAATTGTTTTTGACCAGGACTCGGTGGAATGCGGCCAGTGGCAAAACCACAGCCAGGTGGCATGGGCACGTCCCGGCTCACCAGCCGGGCGTTAGATTTTTTTATGCATAGCCAACATTGTTGCGGCCTGACTCTGGTTTACAGTTTCTCTACTTTTTCACTGCCTTTGTTTATGCGGTCAAATTTAAAATGCCAACAGCAGCAGCTGCACCAAGCGCCAGGAGCCGAGCAGAAGTGACCATGTATATATGTATATATATTTTTACATATTTTAATGTGCTCTTGTCCAGCATTCGATGCCTTTATTTTGTATTCCAGACCTGGTCAAAGGGCTGCGACTGCGACTGCGACTGACTTGAAGCTGTCCAGAAAAGAAAGCCAAACAGCAACAGCGGCAACAGCCAAAACAAAACTGGCATAAGCCACAGCAGGCAAAAGGCAACGAGCAGCACACAACCAACCACCCAACTATACACCCACGCATCCATACAGACACACACACACACACACACACATACACACACACACCGCACACCACATTAGCAGTGGGCGAACCATGCATACATACATAAAATTTCACACTCGCTCGACGAAGGCGCACAACGGCTGAGGGACAAATGCAAATACACAAACAATGGCGGCGAGGGGCTACTAAGCCAAGCTAAGAAGGTTTCGGTAAACAAATACACACACACACAGACACGCACACACACACACACACTTAGGAGCACAGGCGTTGTTATTGTTGTTGTCGCTGCCATTCGGGCACATTCATAGTTAAAATTTGGAGAGACCGCGTCGAGAGATTTGGCACACAGCCATGCCAGATCCAACCCAACCAAACCCGAAACCCTAACCCAGCGCCACCCATATCCCCTTGTCTACTGTCGCGTTAATCAAGGTTCATACAATGGCCAACGAGTAAAACAACTGTAACAGCAGCAACAATGCAAAGTTAGCACGTGCCAAAATGGGCATCACATACATGCACACACATACATACATACCCTATCCGAAATTGTGTATTCTGTGCGCTGTTGTAACTGCCAGCAGGTATTTAACATAGACTCGAACAGATTCACCCCCAGCATAAGCAACTGTTAAGTATCCTTAGGAAATAACTCACAATGTTACGAACCCCAACAATAGATCATTGCTGGGCGTTTGCTGACTACATTTAATTCTGACCAAGTTTTATTTACTCAACTTTCTTTATTCATCATTCCCTCACTTTTTTCAGTTTTGTTTTTTTTTTTTTGTATAATTTTTCATATTATTTTCAAATCTCCCAAGTTCGCAGCAAAAGCTCTCCTCAAGACTTCGTAAGTAAGACTAAGACTTCGTAAGAAATTTACCGAATTCCTTGCTACCATTTTGATCAAGAAGACTATTCAATTACTAAATTACACTTTCATGTAAATGGCTTAAGTTGTATACAGATTGATTAACCATTTTTAAGAATTAGAACATTTTTAGCTAAAAATAAAAATTTAATTGTTAAAAATATTTTTTCTGAAATATGAACATAAATATTTTTTCTCGAAAATATTTTGATGTAACATTCCTGAATTTTATGAAATATGTTTATAGACTTATCATATTACTGAACTAACTTTTCCGCTTGATAAACATTTGTATTTTCAAGATTTATTTGAATTTAGCTTTCGGCTTTCCTAAAACCAAACTTTTGATTTTAAATGTCAAAATTGTAAACTACATTACAAGTCTTTGCGTTGTTTCAGCCTTATTTATGCTGTTTGGACCAATACAAATTCTAATATACTATAGCTGCACATTAACAGCGAACCGATATGCATAATAAAAGCACACAAAATAATTAACTCTGACCAGCAATTTGTCCGAAATCGAACCATCTGAGTGTTTGTTCAAGTATGCCTATTAAAATCGATTGATTTTTCGATGGTTATTGCCATTAATGGTCCTACAATGCAGTTTTTATATTAATGGGACCTCGTTAAGGTAATAACAAATAACTGAATACCACATTAGGTCTACCAAAAGTAGGCTAAAAGGGGGAAATGGCCAATTAGAAGAATATGTTCAGGCAAGGGGGATGCTACGGTCAACAGGCGTCTGTAATATAACATTAATAGGAAAATCAACAGCAATTTATATTAACTTACTTGAGCTTATTACAAGCCCAAGCATCTTCATTAATATACTAATAGATATTAATGATAATGATAATGATAAGCGCTACTTAAAGCCTGATAAGTACCATAAACATATAATAGAGTACATATTTTGACCTTTTTTGAGGGCATTTTAAATTTGACATGAACTGTGTAAGGCATAATACGAAACACTTGCGGTCACATAAATTATATAAATTTCGTGTGCTAATGTAGGTAAAAGGAACGACCCCATTAAGTATATATATTCTTGATTAGTATCAATGGCCAAATCAATCTAGTCATGCCCGCCGGTCCGTTCGTCCCTTCAACCGTCCCTGAGTATGAGAATTGATCACAGAACCTATAAAAGCTAAAGACCTTAAAGTTAACCGTAGTCCTGCTAGTGCCCGCGCAGTACTCTGACCGGTATTCTATAATTTTCAACGAGTCCAAGTAATCGAGAAATAAATCTTTGACGTGTCGAACAAAGCTATTTTAATTATTACAATTTTTCTATGCGGATTCATTCACATCCGCTTAAATCATTTTTAATGATATAGTTTTTCATTTATGTTCTTGTTGAACGGAATTGAATTAAATAAATCGAATCGACCACTAATTGTATTCATAAATTTAGCATTTATGCAATTTACGCATTATATTTACCGAAATTATTTTATATTTTTTATTTGCCATATTGGCCGTTGCGAATGACCAAAAAACAGGCCATCTACAGCGCAATGTTTGACATCCATTCGTTTCGCTGTTGAATGATTTATAAGTGCAAACAAAATGGAAAGCCGCTAATCGAATTTTCATATTTGTATCACATATATGCATTTATGTGTGTATGTGTCTATGTATTTGCAGATTATATTTTGACCCTCGTAACGGCCACTTAAATGCGGAGCTGCCCACAGACAACCAAAGAGCTGAAACACCAAAATGCCAGCAGCAAAAACCAAAAACGCTGCAGTATAAATCAACGGAACTGAGCATGCGACAATTTGTACATAGATGATGGCCCACAACAGTATATACATATATAAATTGTGGAGTTGTATTCAAAACACCCACAACACATATGACTAGTATTTAGTAAACCCCCTCCCGCACACACACACACACACACACACACACATCCACATGCATCTAACGTAGTCATAACTAATTGGCCCGATGGCGCTGACTTGTTATTGATTGCATATACGAATAAATAAATAAATAGATAGTTATGCATGCGAACTTTTCGCTCTGAGATTACAAGATATCATAAATTGTAATATCCATAAATTGTTAATGACAATGTTTTTTTTTTTTTTTGGCTAACACTCATCGCCAGCTGTCGAGGACACACACAAACTCTAGTCGAACAGATTCGAGATATCAGAAAACCAACAATACTATCAATATTGCCGAACAATTTTCAAAGGTAGTGCTCCAGTTTGTACCAATTGTAAATACTTAATAGTTTTTTTTATATTATATAAAAGATTTCCTAATTTGATACATAGTTGAATGTAGTTACGTTAAGGGGTTAAGATTCATTGCCTTGGCGGGGAAGCGCCTGTGCTGGCCCCTAGTATTTAAGTAGGCAATCACAAGAAACTATTGAAATTGTAAATCGGAAGGAAATGAAATTAATAATAGTAAAGATTGTATGCTTACGCTAAAACTATATATTAATATATATATATATATATATATATATATATATATATACTATATATGTATACACAATTGACGACCAAACAAAAGTTTAACTTTATATTTAGAAACTCTAAAGATCATACTTTAAATACATGCAACTAAATTGAAGCCAACTGAATAGACTAGTAGCTGGGGTAGTGCGAATCTTTGAGAACTAATTCAGACACTTGGGATATAAAAACGTACAAGCTCGAATGCCTTGGTGCTTGAAAGCCAATCAACAGAAAAACCAAAATTCATAGGGCTGAGCATGGTTTTGAAGGATTTAGCAATGCCGCAGCTTTAGCTCCACTTAATATTCTATAAACGAGTAAATGATAAATTCATGAGAAGAAGAAGAAAAAGGCAAAAAGAAACAGAAGGCTTGTTAGTGATATTAATTTAAAAAAAAAACTGAAACTAAAACCAATTAATGGCTCCTTAGCGATTATAGAAGTGTTAAACGAACTTTTTTCATTTGCCGAAAAACTTGAAGATGACACTAAACTGAAGAAACTAAATTTAGTCTTCTGCAAGGGCAAACTAGAGTCTTTGTTTAAGCACGCCCAATATAGTTAGTCAGATAAGCATAGGCTCTGATGTAAATTCTACAAATTCTGTTCACTTTTGTAAACTTTTTTGCTTGTCATCTTAAGCCTGAAACTGATTGTAAATAAAAGCAAATGAAAAAGAAAACTCAGCATTGGAAATAGAAATTAAATTACATAAGAACTCAATATCAACTAAATTAAATAATAAATTTAAATAAAAAACATCAACACACAGGCACAATAACAATAAGGAAAACACACAAAGCAACGCATATGTAAACAAGTTCCAAGCAAGTCTTACAAATATTCACATACAACCCACTCACACACACACACACACACACACAAACGCACATCAGCGCAGTATATCCAAAACAAAATAAAAAAAAAAAAAAAAAAAACAATTTAGCAATTATTAAATATTTACAAACTGTCTGAGCAAAAGCAAACTTACTAAAGCGAATGACTAAGCTAAAGTGAAAGCAAAACTAAACGAAAGGCGCCATCAGCTATACGAGAAATGTAAAACGAAGAAACGTTAAATAAACGAATAAAAACAGAATAAAACATAACAATAAATATGAACGAACATTATTTTAAATTTCATATAATAAACAACTACATCAATATGCTGGTCTGAAGCTGGAGCTGGAACAGCTCCGAATGCGCTTTGGACTCATCCACTCAAACCTTCAATTAAATAGCCGGAAATGGATGCGAAAGACTGCAGCAGTCAGTGATTGAATGCTCTATCGTTATGCGGGTCAGTAAGTAAATATATAAATACATACGTACTATGCTCTGTCCGATTAAATTTAATTGGAACAACAAAGGGTGTTCTCGATAAGTGAGTCAGTGAAGGGTAACTGAACGAGTCACTATCATGATTTGAGGCTGATTTCATGATTTAACAGTCTGGCAGCACGAGAAAGTTATATGCATGAGCTGCAGCTAAACTTGTGACATGTCACGATATTCTTGAATTTCATAGCTACGATCTGGCAGCACGAAGCTTATGTTCACTTATGCGCAAAGTTGGCGGCGCTGGAGAATTTTATTTTTAAAGCTTTAACTTATAAAATATTTTATGCATTTACAACAGCTGGTCATAGGTCTGTATTTTTTTTTCATTTCTAACTTTTTTCTTATTTTTATTTTTCCTAGAATTTTACGGCAATCATTTCATGGAATTCAAAAACTGAAATCATTCGAATTGTATGCTGTCAATAAAGAGTTTTTACACAAAACTTGTACCAACATGAACGCTATAAATCCTAGGTACAGCTGACGTGAAAATACTTAAAAATACTTTACCCCAATCCTTTAGCTAACCTTCATCAGGAACTCCTCCAACCTATGCACCGATCAGCTGAATAATGTAGCACCCAACAACCAAAATCGTAGCACCCAGCAGCTGTTAAATGTAATTAAAATTGGTGGCCAGTGCCAGGGGCAGGCACGCAATGAATTAAATAAATTAATTTAGCTGCCAGGCGCAAAAAAAAAATATGCAAACCGTAAATGCGTAAAACCACAAAAAAAAAAGGAAAAAAGAAAGCAAGGTTAAAACCCAAATGAAATATGGAAAAACGCGTGTAAATAGCGAGCGCATTTTTTACATTTTTTTAACGCCGGAGCTGGGGCAAATTTACACCTAACCTAAAAGTGGCAGCGACAGGTGCTTAGCAACACTGGCATCAAGTATCTTTCGCGCCCGCTCGTACTCACCCGCACCAGCTGGCGTCTCTGTCTAGCGCTCATTTAAATGCCGCGCAACAAGCATTTATGTAAATTGAAAATATGCCGAAACGGGGCAGCCATTTAAATTCAATTGTCGCCATGGCAAAACGTGAGAGTGAGTGCGATAGGGAGTGCGAGTGGGAGAGGTTGTGGGAGAGGGAGAGGGAGAGGCAGAGTTTCGCAGACAGACCGACAGCAAGCTGAGCGGCTTTCCCGCTGTGGATGCAGACAATCAGAATTTATATTTATTATTACGATTACAGTTCAGTCGGAGCTCGCAGGCGGTTCAGTGCAGCCGCAGAAACACATTTGTTCATCAGCAAGCGTGCGGAGACAGTCTTCAAACCGTACAAACACACACACTCGCACACTCGCACACTCACACACCCTTGGAATGGAGCGCCTGCTGACCATATTCGAGCAAGCTGATCCCTTCTCCACCTGGTGGCCCACCATTGCAGCCGTCGTGGTCGGCATTGTGATTACAGTGCGGTAAGTGAAAGGGGGCAACTGGAGCAAATGCATATTCATGGGGCAACAAGGAAACGCGTAGTACGCAGCCCTAACGATAAGTTGTGGCCCATTGCAAACTTTTGGCCATGTCCCGACGCCTCGCCGGACACGTGCATGTACATAAATGTCGAGGTGGAGACAACAAAAAAAAAAAAGTACAATAAGAATATTGCAGTCGGGTGCAACCGATTGCGCCATACTCGCTAACAGTTTACAGACAGGCTAGCCGTCCAATTTGTTCTAAGATATTTATATTTTTTCGATTTGCCATGCCCTATTCTTAGGAACAACTCACCAGAAGTCTTCGTTATAATATGAATACATTTCGTTAACCTGTTTCGTTAATGTATTCGTGTCCGATTTCGAAACGTTTTTGAATAGTTTTCCAAATTTAGTCGATGCCGATAGGCAGCTTAAGAAGTAGGCTTATTTAGATCTGAATTGAAATTGGGAGTACAAGCAGGTCTAAAACCGGTCTGGTAGATTTTCTTAATGTGTGGCAATGTTCTATCTTTGAACCTGCTATAAAAATATATTTTTCCAAGATTTTCCCGCGAATATATATGCCAAATACCAAGTCTCTAATCCACAACTGGTTAGAGGAAGACACGCATATGCTCCTTTCACCTTGTGCTCGGGTATAAGAACGCGCTTCACTCGAAACTTTTTAAGTGGATTTCATAAAGAGGGTCGCAGGGCGTGGCTAAGCCGGCACCATCCCGCTGGAGTGCCATCTCCGTGGAGCAGCTGGATAATATGTAATATCCAAAGATTATTTTTGCGCGTTGCGCTTTTGAGCAAAAGCGCGGTTTTTGTGGCCTGCGCCAGTTGCTGATGTGCAGCTGTGCAGGTGTGCCATGGTCGAGATGTGGGGGCGTGGCACTGAGAGCAATGTGGTGCAATATGTAACAACTGGCAACTGACAACTGCGGTAAGTGCCAAAAGCTGCTGCAAATATTTGTAAAGTGGATTTGCACAAGTTGGCTAAAAGTAAATGCGATGGCAAATGAATTCTGAAACGCTGCAAATACCTTTCAGAAGGTAAAACTTACTTAAGTGCCAAATAAGTGTCAGCCAATGAAGCGGCAGGTCATAATGCCAAGCAGCAGAAACAATCTAAGAAAGTTTCTGAACTAATGTAGGAAATTAGATAAGTTTGGGCCGCGGGCCTTAATCAATAACAATTATGTGTGGGCTATAATTGTGAAACTTTATAATTAATTGAGTCGCATACAAAAATTATTTTTATACGAACTAGTTTTGAATATTTTTTCAACCCCTTCTCAAAGGCTTACAGTTAAATAAAAGGTATTCTGACCGTCTGCCTGGTTGTGCCCTTAACCAAAAAGTTGTTAGCCCTCAATATAAATAATTTATTTAATACATTTTTTTTTTGTTTTATGTTAAAGCAATCAATGTTTTTAAGCTGTTAAAACTTTTGCCAAGTAAAAAATGAGAAGAAAATAGATATCAAAAATAAAATAAATAAGAAATTTAAGTTTCTGTTGTCAGTTTGAGGAGAAGCAAACAACAAAGTGGACATTTTTGTTTTAACTATTTTTATGCTCAAAACTTTAACTATTTAATATCAATTACTGCGGTCTTAATGTTGCTTGTTATAAAACAATTTGATATAAAGCCACAATCGGCAGCAACTTGCATTGTCTAAATACAATTTAGTTTGCAGAATTTAAAAAGTTGAATTTTTGTTTATTTTAATTGTTAGTTTGCATTTATGCACACGTTGAAGAGAACTCAGCTAATTCGTTAGCAACTGCTTTACATAATGCACAAACAATAACATAAGACTGTTAAAAGTCTTAACATAACATAGCTTACGGTTACGGTTACGCCCGGGTCAATAACAAACACTTTAATTGAATATGAGAATACAGAAATTGAATTGCAACTTTTTCGATTGACAAAGCTTCTTAGAGATAGAAATTTATGAGAGAATGTCCTAACAATATTCTGAACTGTTTAATAACGCTTTTAAAAATAGTTAAGCTTCTGCACTTGTGAGTTTGCATGCAAATAGGCAGTCCGATATTATTCACGCCTATCATTAAGCCAGAGGGGCCGCACACACAGCACACAGCAGCCCCGGCTTTAGGCCACATGTTGGTTACGCAAAATCATGGTTAAATTTGCACCACATCCAGGCCTGCATCTACACTGCATTTATCTATATAACCCGCATTGCAGCACCATAATGAGCGGCCAGCGGTGTCCCAACGATAATCAAATCAAGGAGCAAATTGTTGTAGTTACCGGCGGCAGCAGCGGCATTGGCTTTGAGATTGCCAAAGCGCTGGCGGCGCGTGGCGGCCGCATTATCCTTGCCTGCCGCAATCTAGCCGAGGGCGAGCGTGCCGCAGCAATTATCAAGCGGGAGCTGGGGTGCCGCACTCCAACCTCAGCCGATGACAACGTTAGCCCCGCCGAGCGCTACTTTGTGGAGGTTCGCCATGTGGATCTGTGCTCCCTGCGCAGCGTGCATCAGCTCGCCAGCCAACTGATGTCCGAGTTCGAGCGCATCGATGTGCTGGTGAACAATGCGG